CCAGTTGTGGGGCCTGAACTCTGGGCCTGGGCACTGTCCCTCAGCTCTTCGGCTCAAGGCTAGCACTCTACCACTTGAGCCACAGCGCCACTTCCGGCTTTTCTTTTTTCTGCTTATGTGGTGCTGAGGAATCAAACCCAGGGCTTCATGCATGCAAGGCAAGTGCTTTACCACTGAGCCACCTCCCCAGCCCTTAATAAAATATTTCTATTGTATTAAAAATGAGTTATGGGCTGGGAATGTGGCTTAGTGGAAGAGTGCTTGCCTAGTATGAATGAAGCCCTCTGGGTTCAATTCCTCAGAACCACATAAACAGAAAAAGCTGGAAGTGGTGCTGCAGCTCAAGTGGTAGAGCTCTAGCCTTGGGCAAAAGAAGCTTAGGGACAGTGCCCAGGACCTGAGTTCAAGCACCAGGACTGGCAAAAAAAAGGATGAGTTACATCACTGAATACTGCATATTTTACAGTAACATTTTCAAAACGTTAAGGCTTTCATATATTGTCAAAGAAATTCACATACAGTATTCATCCAAAATCCACTTCAAATATATGTAACATAAAAACAAACATATTATGTATTTCAAAGTCTACCATTTTAGTGACAATTTCAGAAGTGAGGATTATGATGTTTTACTTGTTAAAAAATTACACATACAAATCATGTTCAAATAGCAGTCTAAATTGATTGGCAGCACTTTCACATAGGGCAATACCAGTAGCACTAATCCTCCACATTGTCTATTTGGGCAGTAGGCCTTAAGATGTTGTTGAGATAACTGGCTTCCATTAGCAAGTATGTGATTGGCAGGATGATAAAGTCTTTTCACTCACAAGTCAGCTATTTCCTTTTCTTGAGAGGAGAGCAACCCTGATGATCTATCTTTTAGCTACAGTCCCTTACTGAGTCCCAATTCTCTTGCCTTCAGCTTTGATATGGTTCTAACTTTCCTCTTGTATCAGCTCATACTTGTCATCAACTCCTCTATTCAGAACAGCAAATATCAGGAGTTTGACCTCAGGGCAAAGTCCGGGTGGGCAGGTAAAATTGGACTACTGGACCTACTTCCTAATCTTTCATACCCAGCAATTCATGAAGCAGTATCAAATTCAAACTAAAAAACAAAAGCATGACCTCTCATAAGCTCTATGAAAAGAGTTCTTTTGCCTTTCTAAGTATACTTGAAAAGAACTGTCAGCCATCCTATTAAGACAGAAATGGATCACAGACTAGGAAAAAAAAAAAAGGGAAAGTGCAGAAACACAAATAAAATGTAAATAAAGGCATTAGCACCCCTTTATATGTGGTAACATACCACTTCATATAAGTATGAAAATACTTCGCTATGAACTATCTTAAGAAGTCATAAACAAAAGCACTATCAAAACTTTAAGACATCCTTATTTAAATAATCACGAAGATCTGATTCAAAAACTTTTATCACCTCATGTGAGACTTCTGTTTTCAACACTACTATTTTTTAAACCAATTCTTATATTTGGAATTTCATCACTTAAGTGTGTGTAACTTAATTTTTAAGCAAACCTAAGTGAAAAATAAGTACCCTTTTTAATTTATTAAATCTAAGCTACTGAAGTCATAAAATTTAAGTTATGGCCACAGTGTTCTAGCATTAAATACAAGAATTAATTATATTTTCCTATTTTAGAATATAAAAGAACAAAAATACAGTATCATTAAATTTTAACATTTATAACCAGAGAACATTGTTTTAACCCTCTTTTAAGACTATAAAAATTAACATGTAATTAATCAGCTCATCAAAAAAATTTTCTCTTTTTTGGGTCCAGTCGTGGGTCTGAACTCCGGGCCTGAGCACTGTCCCTCAGCTCTTCAGCTCAAGGCTAGCACTCTACCACTTGAGTCACAGCGCCACTTCCAGCTTTTTTTTCTGCTTATGTGGTGCTGAGGATCGAACCCAGGGCCTCATGCATGCAAGGCAAGCGCTCTACCACTGAGCCACCTTCCCAGCCCATAGCTCATCAAAAATTTCTAGCCACTCACTTCTTGCACTGTAGTAATATACTCAAAAATTGTATTTAATATTTATATAACTATCCATATATTTTATTTTATTAAAAAATTATAAAAAAGATTTTTTGGGGGGTCCGGTTGTGGGGCCTGAACTCTGGGCCTGGGAGCTGTCCCTCAGTTCTTCAGCTCAAGGCTAGCGCTCTACTGCTTGAGTCACAGCGCCACTTCGGGCTTTTTTCTTTTTTCTTATGTGGTGCTGAGGAATGGAACCCAGGGCCTCAGGCATGCAAGGTAAGCGCTCTACCACTGAGCCATCTTCCCAGCCCCTATAAAAAGATTCTTACTTGCTGGACGCTGGTAGTTCATGCCTGTAATCCTAGCTCCTCAGGAGGCCTGAGATCTGAGGATCATGGTTCGAAGGCAGCCCCGGCAGAAAAGTCCCTGTGAGACTTTTATCTACAATAAACTACTCAAAAAAGCCAGAGGTGGTACTGTGGCACAAGTGGTACAGTGTTAGCCTTAAGCACAAAGCAGCTCAGGGACAGCAAGCAGGTCCTGAGTTCAAGCCCTAAGACAGGTATTTAAATAAAAAAAAGATTTTTTACTTAAAAGTCCCTTAAATTATACTGTTAAAGTTGCTCAGGATTTTATGTCTTCTAAGTGCTCCCATCTGATATGTAAATTCAACCAAAATGACTAGAAATATTATCAATATTTATAAATATACCTTAGTGGTAATTTCCTAGGGAGCTAAACACTTATAAAGAGCTGTCAAATTATGATTATCTTTTAATCATGGATTAAGAGGTTAGCTGGTTTTGAATCAACTATTTGGTCAAATCATTGAGTAGAATCTTTTTTGTGAAGCGCTAGGGATTAAACCCATGGCCTCATGCATGCTAATCAAATGTTCTACCACTGCACTATTCCCCAAGCCCCTAAGAACAGAATCTGTACAATTTCTTAAGCAATGTGGTTTTTTTCATAGTCCTACACAGTTGTTAATACAAAAACTAGTTAATGTCAGTGAAATTCACATGACACAGAAAAATATCACAGGGTAACTTCCAAATTTTCTATGAGCAGATTATTCACATATAATGGCAAATATCAAGTTATCTCTTAAATTGTCCTTACAACATAAAAACTTACCCAGTAAATGACCATAGTTTACTTGGAAATGAATATACAACGAAATCTATTTCCAACTTGCTAAAGAATTCAAGTTGTCGGAGGCTGGGAAGGTGGCTCAGTGGTAGAGCACTTGCCTTGCATGCTCGAGGCCCTGGGTTCGATTCCTCAGCACCACATAAACAAAAATAAAAAAGCCGGAAGTGGCGCTGTGGCTCAAGTGGTAGAGTGCCAGCCTTGAGCTGAAGAGCTGAGGGACAGCACCCAGACCCAGAGTTCAGGCCCCACGACCGGACCCAAAAAAAAAAAAAAAAAAAGAATTCAAGTTGTCTATATTTGATCATTTTATTCAGGGAAACAGGTCTGCCCAACAGAGAGAACATCCAAACTAAATGGATACTGCCAAAAAGAAGGCTTCTCATCCACAGATCTAGTCAACCAGGAGAGTGTTTTGTTTGACACAGTATCAGAGCATTGAGTTCAGTCAGAAGTAAGTGTGTTCAGTGCTTTATTGACATAATTTGGTGACAGAAATGGACTTTTCCTTTTCCTTTTAAATCTGGCTTAAGATAAATCACTTATTTCTATACACACATTGTCTTGTAAGGATTCCCAGCCAGTCTATGGGTGTTTTATTTCTCTAAAGAATTTTTATATACCATAAGGATGAAAAATTATTTTTCTTCATTATATTTGCATCTATTTTAACCATGTCTCCTCTTCAAATAATGAAAAACAGTAGACACTCATCAGTACTGTCTAGGAATTAGAGCAAAAGTAGCCTAGTCCCAAACATTTACTGAATTCATTTACTGAATTCTGATTTGAGTAACAGAGTCTGCTTCCATCAATGGTGGGGTCTCATTTCCACTCATTTTCATCCCCATAAGGGAATGGGCACCATTAATAGACTGATACCATGTAGTTTCATTTTAATTCAGTTTCAATATGGCTCTTCTAGCCAAGAGCAGTAGACACTCCTATTTGTCAATCAAGTACTCCTCAACTTTCTAAATAAGATCAACCCTGTCTCTAAATCAATGTGTAGCTTTATTAAGCTCTGTAATCTATTTTCATATATGACCAGAAAATTATTAAGAAATAACAAGCCTCAAGCTACAGTAAACCAAAGCACAAAGTAACTTAGTAAATATTCACTGTGAGAAGGTTGTAAAAAGTTGAGATACTCAGCCAGGCATTGGTGGCACATACCTGTAATCCTAGCTACTTAGGAGGCTGAGATTTGAAGATCATGATTCAAAGCCAGCCCAAGCAGGAAAATCTGTGAGACCCTTATCTCCAATTAACCACCAGGAAACAAGAAGTGGCGCTATAGCTCAAGTGGTAGAGCACTTGCCTTGAGCTGAAGAGCTCAAGGACAGCACCCAGGCCCAGAGTTCAAGCCCCACAACTGACAGAAGAAAAAAAAAGGTTGAGAAACTCAATGAACATAGATTCAGAGAGAAGTGGCAAATACAAAGCTATCAAGAAGGCATTTTCAATCTCAGTTATCTGAGACAGAAGACAGAAGAATTAAAATTCAAGGCCAGCCTGACCAATGTCAGCAAAACTCTACCTAAAAAAACAAAAGCTGGGTGTCCTGGCATATACTTATGGTCCCAGCAACTTGGGAGGTCAAGGTAGAAAGAGAGAGAGCAGAGTCTGGAGTTGGTCTGGGAAAAAGCATAAGACCCTATCTGAAAAATGACTGTAGGCACTCTCCAGGTCCTTACCTAGTGATCCAAGGCCTTGTTGTAAAAAGAAAGCATTTTTGTAAAGATAGGTTGTTTTTAATGAAAAAAAAAAAGCATCCCTGTAGCATTAAGAATAAATATTTTAAAAGGCAAGAAAAGGCAAAGTATATTATTACATCTTACTTGTCTGAGGTCAATGAATGCTAGCTGTAGGGTATCCCCTTGGAATCCTGGCACAGGCTCAGAACTGGCAAACACTATTAAAAAATTAATAACAGTGAATTAGAATAACATTGCAAAATATGTAAGATTTAACTACTAAATCTTTACTCATTAGAAATAGAATATTTACACACAACCTTTTCAAATGAGAACTATTCATATTCTTCCATTTCTACTACTAAAAATATTCTCCATACCCATTATCACAAATAGTTTACACTTCTAATCTGCCACTTAATCACTATAATCTTTAATTACAATAAATTTAAAATGGCTATCCTACATAAAGTTCAAGAATAGTAACACACTTCAATCAAAAATTTCTGACTTAGCATTAGGTGAATGATTATAGAAGCATTTTGAAACTATACCAATTCCATAGCTGTCAATCTATTCTCTAGCTAATGAAAATAAAAGGTAGACACCAAGGCTAAAAGTCAGCATCACATATAAACAACAGGTAAAATGTTCTAAGTAGCAGTATCATGATAATTCAAGAATGTTCATGTTTTAAATTACGTTTTTATAAAAAAAATCCCATTTCTTTAAAACAATAGCCAAGGATATCTTAAGGCAAAATGAAAAAATTCAAAAGATTAGTTGGATGCAATGGCTCACACCTATCATCTTAAGTACTTGGGAAGCTGACATGGGGAGGATTACAGTTTGAGGTCAGTCTGGCAAAAAATATGGAAGATTCTATGAACTAATAAAAAGCTGAGTATAGTGGTGTATGCTTGTCATTCCACCTATGTGAGAAGTATATGTAAGTGATCACAGCCTAAGCTGGCTAAGGCAAAAAGTGAAAACCTACTGAAAAAATAACAAAAGCAAAAATGGATGGAATACAGCCCAAATAGTACACCTGTCAAGCAAGAGTAAGGCCTGGAGTTCAAATAGTACTTCAAAAAACATTTTTTTAATCAAGAGATTTTTTTTTAAAAAATACTACTAATATAGATTGTTTAGTTAAACTAAAGACAATTCCAACAATATTAGCTATTCTGAAGATAAAAGACTTTCAGCTCAAAGAAAACTCTACTAATTTTTTTTTTTTTTGCCAGTCCTGGGCTTGAACTCTGGTCCTGGGCGCTGTCCCTCAGCTCTTCAGCTCAAGGCAAGCATTCTACCACTTGAGCCAGAAAACTTCCAGTTTTCTGGTAGTTAATTGGCGATAAGAGTTTCATAGACTTTCCTGCCTGGGCTGGCTTTGAACCATGATCCTCAGATCTCAGACTCCTTAGTAGCTAGGATTACAGGTATGAGCCACCAGCACCAGGCTTGTACCTGAACTTTTGTGCTCAAGGCTAGTGCTATACCGCCTTGAGCCATAGCACCGGCTTTTTTGGTAGTTAACTGGGGATAAGAGTCATATGGCTTTGAACCATGATTCTCAGATCTCAGCCTCCTGAGTGGTTAGGATTTCAAGTGTGAGCCACCGATACCTTGCCTATGTATTGTCCTTTAGTTAAAATTTCTATTGTTAAAGTCAGGTGGTGAGTATACTGCATTTTGATCAATGTCATTCTCTTCCCATACCTACCCTCAAGTAAGTAGCTCAATTTTTACATAATGTACATTGAATACAATTGCATTTGCTAACTCTTCCTCCCTCTATTCATGCTTCCTTATTTTAGAACAGGGCACATAGATGATGGATCATAAAAATCTTGTAAGTAAAAGAGATAGTCCCTTTGAAATACCACCAATAGACTTCCAAGGGCTTAGTTTAGAAGTCACCTACTTCTTAATTTTATAAGGTAGAAGAATTAAGGAGAAGAAATTTCATGGAAACACAGTTAATTCAGGCTTCCTGGTATTCAAGCCACTGATCCAGAATCTGATTAAGTATTCAGCTTCTGTTTATCTTCTCACACAAATTTAACCAATATAGAAGAAATTCACTAGTTTATAACTCTCGGTTCTTTTTCTCAAATATAGTTTAGGGATAGGAAATAGTTTAACAATCCAATGATTACCTGGCAAAGAAAACATCAGTAATATTAAGCTATTCAACTTGACCAGTAGCTTCATATTTTTTTTCTTTTACTTCTTTAAAATCAAATGTAATTAATCTTACTTTTTCTCCCTTCTAACATATCCTTTTCACTGCCAAGGTTTAATCTCAGGGCCTTGCACTTGCTCAGCTTGCTTGCTTACTTATCTGGCACTCTACCATTCCAGTCACATCTCCAGCCAGCTTTTTGCTAGTTATTTTGGAGGAGTCTCTCAGACTTTTCTCTCTGGCTGACTTTGACCTATGCTCCTCCAGATCTCCTCTGAGTACCTGAACTATAGGTGTGAGTTACTAGCACCAAGCCCTAAAATAGCTCTTGAGTCCTAATCTATCTCTACTTAAGTTCAAAATATCATAATTTCTTACATACTTCCATTTTGGGACTTCAAAATTTACCATCCTTTAATAATTCACCATCATTTCCATAATCAAACAATTCACCATCGTTTCCATAATCAAACAAGACTAAGGGCAAGGTCTTTCTCTGCCTATCTCTGTAACCTCATCTCTAATCACTTTCCTAGAGCTACTTAGACTCTTTCCATACCAGACTGCCTGCCCTTCTTTGCAAATACAAAGTGCCTTCCCATAATGCCTTTGATCTCCTAGCTATAACATCTTCCTCTTTTCTTTTCGTTCTGAATAACTGATACTTATCCTTCAATCATTACTTTCTATGAGAAGACTTATATTACCTCTATAGGTTGGGCTAGATCTTTCCCTGCAATTCATGTCAACCTGTGAAGAGTCTGATCATAGCACTTATTTTGTGGCCTTAACCTAGCTGGGTCTTTACACAAGAACATAAAATACCTGAAGGTATGGACTATAATGTCTAATCCCTATCATCTAAATAATAAATTCTGTGAAACTTTATTAGGTGAGTAAAGGAAAAGTGAATAAGTGATAAAAAAAATTCTGAGGGGGTATATTATCATCCTGTCTTGATAATGAATATATAATCTAGCTTGCTGATTAGATCTAGAATGACACCATCCAACAGAACTTTCTAAAATAATGGAAATACTTTGTACTATGCAGAACCGAATTATAGTGTTATTTAAAATCAGTGCAATTTTAAATAAGTTAAATATGAAATAAACAAATATTTAATAATATTTTAAATTTAGTTATTTAAATTAATTACCTTCCATTTAAATTCACAAAGACAATGCATACCTAGCATAGTAAAAATATTCCTAATGAGCTGGGTGCCTGTGGCTCATGCCTGTAATCCTAGCTACTAAGGAGGCTGAGATCTAAGGATCGTGGTTCAAAGCCAGCCCAGGCAGGAAAGGCCATGAAACTCTTATCTCAAAAACCCACCAGAAAACTGGAAGTGGTGCTGTGGCTCAAATGGTAGACTGCTAGCCTTGAGCTGAAGAGCTGAGGGACAGTGCTCAGGCCCAGAATTCATGCCCCATGACTGACCCCCTCCTCCCCAAAAAAACATTCTTAATGAATTCCTTCACAAAAACTAAATTATTGAGTTTTTAGCTAATTTAGAAACTCCTGAAAAGTAGGCATTTCTTTTACTTTATATATTCTGTGCCTGACATACAGGAAACATTCAATAAATGTGTACTGAATGAATAGTAATGTGTCTCATGCTCTAGGCAATTCTTGAGGTAGATTTTAAGTTCTTAATTTTTAAATCCCTTAAAGTATCCCTTCTTGGGTAATCTAAGTTCTCATTTTTTATATGACTTGTCATATTTGGAGATTTTTTTCTTCTTTCTTGGGCAATCATTTTACTTTAAAAAAAGGCAATGCCTGCTTCTCTAGTATGGTGTTTTTGTCTGTGTTTAAATCATACTTTTAAGGATTTTTTTTTTTTTTTGAGGGAATGGGGAGGGCGTCAGTCATGGGGCTTGAACTCTGGGCACTGTCCCTCAGCTCTTCAGCTCGAAGCTAGTGCTCTACCACTTAAGCCACAGTGCCACTTCCGGTTTTCTGGTGGTTTATTGGAGGTAAGAATCTCAAGGACTTTCCTGCCAGGCTGGCTTTGAACCATGATCCTCAGATCTCAGCCTCCTTAGTAGCTAGGATTACAGGTGTGAGCTGCCGGCACCTGGCAGTATATATTTTTTAAACCCATATTGATCATGGTCTTCAACCAAAATATATATATATATGTTTTTGTCAGTCATGGGCTTGAACTCTGGGTCTGGGTGCTATCCCTCAGCTCTTCAGCTCAAGGCTAGCACTCTACCTACCACTTGAGCCACAGCACCACTTCCGTTTTTCTGATGGTTAATTAATTGGAGATAAGAGTTTCATAGACTTTCCTGACTGGGCTAGCTTTGAACCTCGATCCTCAGATCTCAGCCTCCTGAGTAGCTAGGATTATAGGCGTGAGCCACCAGCACCCAGCTTCATGCCAAATTTTTAAAACACTCTAAATGTAGATTAAGAGAGGAGATACCTGACTTTATTGGAAACAGATATGATAACTAATAGATGAGAGCTCTACTATATGAATCTCCTGGGAAGAAGATTCAATTTGAATCAGTGCAGATTAAACAACAAAATAAAATGCAGTCTGTGTGGGTTGTGATAATAAGAAGCCATCTTCCAAATTGGCAATCTACTAAATTTTAAGGCAATAAACAATACTGAGGGAGTGGTAAATGGGAGAAAATGAGGGAGGAGGTAACAGTTTAAAAAGAAATGTACTCATTACCTTACTTATGTAACTGTAATCCCCTCCCCTTCATCACCTTTACAACAAAAAAAAGAGTAAAAGTAAAAATAAACAAAAACCAATGATATTATCTGAACCTAGTGCCAGTGGCTCACATCTGTAATCCCAGCTATAAGGATCTTGTTTGAAACCATCCTGGGAAGGAAAGTTCAAAGGACTCTTATCTCCAATAAACAACTCAGAAAAAGCCAGAAGGGGTGCTGTGACTCAAATGGTAGAGTGCTAGCCTTGAGCAAGAGAAGCTCCAGGATAGCATTCAGGCCTAGAGTTCAAGCCCCAGGATTGGTAAAAGACAAAAAGCCAAAAACCAACTA